CTTTTCTTCGTACCTTATTTTTGGCTCCAAAATATCACAAATTATTGCCTCATGATCAGACAGAGCTGCATTGACAACCCTGCAATCCACTTCTTCCGCGCCATAGTTTGAATATAAGTAATCAATTAACGTAAATGATGTATCTGTAATCCTCGTAGGCATTGCGACATGCATATTTAGAGTATTGGAAGTCAAAAGGTTTTTTAACGTTAAAGTTGAGATTGCATTGTCGACAAGGTAGTCAATTTGAGCCAAGAGGCCATCAAGACCTGTCAAGAATTCAATTGTATTTGACCTGGGCGATCGGTATACACAGATTATGTACAGGTTCAGTTTTTTTGAGCAGACAATGCTGAACTCAAATGTGATTTCTTTTAACAATACATCAAATTTATTCACTGATTCAAACATATTTACCCCAAGAAAAGACTTATTAATCAGAACCATGCAACCACCATGTTCAGAGTGAGTGCGACAGAAGTTTGACAAAATTACGTAATTTGGTATGTTAACTAGTTCTTGGTTCTTTAGCCAGTGTTCCGTTAAGAGAATAATATTCGGATTATTGCAGGAATCAAGAAATAGAGTAAACTCGTTTGTTTTATTCCGCAAAGATTGAATGTTTAAAAGTAGGACTGAATATTTATTCTTGATAATTTCATTTTTTTCCGCTTTAATCAAGCTGTCTGGGAAGTTTCTGTCACACCCTGCCTTATCTTCACTGTCATTAGTATGTTGACCAATACCTCTAGTTTCTATGTCTTCTGAGATTTTTTCAGATACTTTAATTTTTGCAACATATTTTAAAGCATTATTTTTAAAATTAAAATTAAAATAAGACGAATTCAAGAACGAGTTGAGATTAATAAATAAATAAATGGGATGCACCACTCAGAGTTTGAAGAAATTCATATAATTTAATATTAACTTGATCGATTAGTTTACTTAATATTAAGTGGTTATTCCATAAAGGCACGGAAAGAATTACAATATTTGTGTACTGACTCAAGTGAGCTTCTGGAAAAAAGAAATGTCAATTCTCCCACCGCACAGGGCATTCATTTGACCTCCACTGATAATTACGTAATCAGTTTTTTCAAAGTCCTTTGTTCTCGACATTCTCGATGATGTTTTTCAGAAGAGCGTTGTGTTTTGCAATAATGAGTATTCTGTATGCTTCTAGTTTAGCCTGCTTTTCTAGCGATTTGTGGAAATCAACAATGGAATTGTCTCCAATCAAAAGAATTTTATGCTTTTGAGCAGTTTGGTTTTTGATTTTGGAATCACTGTCACTTTTCTGCTGGGTATGCTGATGCGATGCAACTTGTTCACCTTCCCTGCTTTGCTTGTTCTCCAGCGCTTCAGAAATCAAATCACACTGCGTGGCCTCATCCGCTATTAAACCGCTGCTATTTCTGAAAGTGCTATTTAGCAAAAATAATTTCTGTTGGGCGTCTTTATATTCCTTCATATACACTTCGTTGTCATTTGTTAGTATTCTGATCGTATCCAACATTTCATTCTTTGTATTAGTCATATCTTCCAATTCTGTTTTTAACTTCCCAATTTCGGTCTTAAATTTTTCAGCAACTTCCAAAACATCATGCATTTTTGTTGTGAGCTCTTTATTTTTTTTGTTAAGCTTGTACATTTCCGCTTTTTGTTGTTCCAACTCCAACTTATATTTTTTTATCTCATTTTGGAAATTTTCTTCTGCAGCAAAAACCTCATCTTCGAAATCCACGATATATCTCTGTTTTCTTTTCAAACACTCTTCGACTTCATGCTTTTCCATTTTCAATGTTTGGAATTTGTCCTGTAGTTCTAGCATGTGTGTGTCATTTTTGTTCATTTGTATTTCCATTTTTTCCATTTGTATCTTTAGAATTTGATTTTCAAACCTGAGTTTTTCTAGTTGCTTAACAATTGTACCCGATTTTTCCTGGACACATTCACTGCAAAAGTATGATATTTTACGCGATATCGTTTGTATAAATCGCACCTCAAGTTGTTACTCCATTTTTTACATTTCCTGCATAAAGATGTCTTGCATCCGTCACAGGGATAGCCAAATAATTCGTCCTGAGCATCGCCTTTATCAGCCTTCACTCTGAAAACGCATTCGGCAAAGCACTTGTTGCACACACCGTGCGATGGTAGTTTCTGGGACATTATTGCTCGACTCAATTTTATTCCGGCAACAAAATTAATCTCCGAATAGACCAGCGGATCACGGTTGATCAAACCCTATTTTTAGTAAGGAAACGCTTTTGTTGAAAATGACTTGAAATAAATCAGTTTTTCAGATTTCTTTGGTTCCGTAAACTTTGGTTCCGTGCCTAACGTGACAACGTCGAAAGGTGCAAAGTTCAGGATCCCTGGGATTAAGCTGAGGGGAATCTATTTCTCGGTGGTTCAAAGTTATTATTCCGTAAATTACCTACATATTTCACTGCACTTTCACTAGTTTTAGAAATAAACACCCTTAATAAACATTAATGACTGTTATTATAATTTAAAAAGACAAAATTAACTGTTAAATTCCAATTTTAAGATAAGAGTAAAAAGTAAACAATTCGGATCGAGAACGCGAGGTTGCAGGTATCAACTTGCTTGAAATTAAACAAAGATATGGGCAATTGTTCATGAGGTTTTATAAAGGTACATACTTTTTCTGTATTCTAAAAGCCAACTTCAAGACTCAATTGGGTGATTTTGGAGTGTATCTGGTCAAAATCAACTGTAGAGTTACAAGTTGTTTGGTTTTAAACTAATATCCACATTATCATGATGAATTGAGAAAGAATCTACGATAATCAATCGTAAAGATTTTTATTGGGTCATTGGAAGAAAGCTTATAATCTTCTTTTGGCTTATGAAAAGTAGTTGAGGCAATTTTAGTCTGAATACGTCTAATAAATTATTATACCTATACCAATAAATTTATAAAGATTAAATTCCAAGTGACGTGAAATTCGATCTTTCATAATTATTATAATCTGCGTTTTATCTTAGTTTAATTGCCTTGCACTATAATATATAGGCAAGCAAAAATGGAATATTTGAGATTTTCAAGGATTTATTGAGAGTTTTTCTTTAAAATAGCTAGACATCTTAGAAGAAAATGTTTAAGATATGTAACATTGATACAAAAATATTCAGTAGGTATTATGAATCTTCGAGGTTTTCAAGATTTTGAAGTAGAGTATTGACTTTTGAACCAAGAAATCCTGACTCAGAAGTCATCAGAATCGTGAGTCTTGCACAAGGAAGACTCAAAATATGAATATTTTCCATATTATCTCAGAATGAAGTCTTCAGAAAAATGAATGTCCTCCCGATTCCGTAGAGAATTTATTTCTAAAAATGTGCTGATATTTCCAATAAGATTCAATTAGATTATCTGATAACTTCAGATTCTTATTTGTGATAGTTGGAGATATGATTTTTCAAAGTTTTTAGAAATGTATCTTCAAAAAGCTTCATATGTATCTATAATTCAATTAAGAAACTTTCAAATTACCTATCAGACAATTACCAAACTATTGCAAATACATATTTTATCTTATGGCAAACTCAATAATTATAAATATTTACTGGTAAGATTACACAATTCACTTCTGTTTTTACGGTGTTTCTCATTGTTGAATATTGAATAAAGTAAATAATAATTATAATTCGCTTATGTAAACCAAATTAAAGTGCTAATGAACGATATTATTTTATTTTTCCAAAACATCTTTTATCTTAAAGATTCCATTTCAAGTCTAACAAGTGATAAGTTTATGGAGAAACAAAGAATTCTCTAGAAAATTACCATAAAATGCGAAAATTTACGATTTACCAATAAAATATTTCCAAAGTGGATATCGAATTGATATAAGGCAATTGATAATACCCTACAAACTTTATGCAATCCTACTACTCGAAATCCTTATCATGGAAACTCCTTTAAGAGAAAAGGTTTCAGTTATGTAGCTGGGCTTCCATGAAACTCCTCGAAGTTCCATTTTCCAGCAATGCAGCCGAAATTTTTCCAGGAAACTCCAGCTACGGGAATTTCCCGGATATCCAGTTTCGGGAGATTTTCATCAGGAGAAAAGAAGTTGCGATGCAATCAATTTGTATTTATGATATACAATGTAGCTGAGATTAGCTAGCTTGGCCATTCCGGAGTTTTCCGGAAATCTAGTTTCGGGATATTTTCAGCAGGAGAATAGCAGTATAAATGAACAATACAAGTCAAGTATTTTTTCAATTCCAACTGGATCATTTTAGAGTTTTCCGGAAAATCCCGTTTCGGGATATTTTCAGCAGGAGAATAGAAGTTTAAACAAGTACGGATATTATTCCTGCAAAGTAAAGGGTCCGCGGAAAATCAATATAAGGGCATGGCTCGCGTGTTCAGAGAGGGTGATAAACTAAAAGGGGGTGTTTATAAAATGGCAGATATATGGGGAGTTGCCCTTATCTATTATCAATTACAGAAACACAGGCGTGTCTAGGGGGTATTGAAATATTAGGAATTTAGAATATTCTAGGGATTTTTCATAAAAAGACGTATTTTTTTAAGTCTGAGGACCAAAAAAAGACGTTTTGGAAAGAGATGCAAAGACGTCTTTAAAATATCTTAGTCCTACAGACGACTTTAGGCAGACGTCTGGAAGATTTCAAGATGTCATTTTAGGGATATCTTCAAAATACCCTTGTGATGTCTGGGCACATTTTCAAACAAAGAAAAAAATGCTATATTCCTTGAACAACTTTGTTTAGTTTATTCTTATTCATTATATTGTTTTACTTAAGTTGGGTACCTATTTCAACTTTAAATTTAAAATATTAACAAACCCATACATAAATATGAATACCTAGCATTAGAAGTTGAATAACCTTTTGTAAAATGGAAAGATTTTGCCCAATATAAATATATTAATTAAAATTTGAAGCTTCATTAACATACAAGCACCTACTACTAAAACTTAAAACAACTATTCACTTACCGTAAAATTTAAATATAAAACTAGGTTGTTTACAGGTACCTAGATTAGCAAAACTCGCACTAATATATAATCACTAAAATAAATAGTTATTAAACAATAATAATCATTAAAACACTGATTTCAATTTTACTAATAAAACCTGAAATAATTATTATAAATAATTATTCTCATAAGTAACTATGCGGTAAATTCTCTGACCACCGCGTTCGCCAGACTCGCGGTCCGCAGACTTTTAGATTGTGTACTAAAATAGAGGAGCAGTGATTGTTTTTTTTTTCTGTTCTTTCTTGGAAGGAGGCCGAGAAAAATTGTTGGCTTTCAAGATAACGATAATAATTGAATCGATAAGACGAGATTTAATTGCAAAATTATAATGGGTTATTGATGATGGGAATCTGGTCTAGAGATAAAGTTAACTATTTCTTATCTTATTTTGACAGTAACTGAAACAGCTTTTGCCATTTTGTTTCTTAATATATCTACAGAAATGCAACAACCATCAAGTAAAAAATCCATTCAAGAAATTATTAGAACTGAGGAGAGAAGTAGTATATCCCAGTCCAGAAGTTGCTTCTTCACAACTTTTTCACATTTATTAGACAAAAAAGCCATTTTGTAATTATTATGGAAGGAGAAAATCTAATATTTTAATTGCATCATTGTTGTTGTATTATTATTTTGGAATAAAGCCAAGGGCAAAGCATAGTCGTCTATGTACTAGTTACACATTTAATCAACTATTTTCCAGTAAAAACGTTCCACTTTTTCAAGAGTCTGACCTGTTATCATATAAAATACTTGTATCCAATCACAATTTCGATGTTGTAAAATTATTGAAGCATATTTTTGCGATAAAATATGGGGTTTTTGATCTTTTTTACATTTATAAATGCTGTCACCACAATTTAAACTAGTTGGCAGTTTACTCCAAAACATCCTTTGACAAATTATGTAGGTATAGTTATTTATAGGATTAATTAGAAACGAAATATTGTAAATGGAAGCTTAATAATGTATGAAATGATCTTCAAAATTGCAATTAAATTTGATAGGTTTTCGGTAAAGGATTGGTTAAGTTGTACGGTATTTTCATCAAACAAAACAAATTGGAAGTGAATCTGATTATCAGAAATAGAATAATGGCTGTTTCTGTTTTTTCCACGTTGATAGAAGAAAAACCTGTAAAATTCCTGTTAAATCATCAACTTCATATTTTTGGAATTTATTAATTACGGCCGAACAGAACAAACTCGAAATGAATCTGATGCCCAGAAATAGAATTATGATTGATAAATCATAAGGTAGCTACCCCAGTACCGGTACTAAAACGATGAAATTTCAAATTTTTTTTGTTGAGATTTTGTGTCCTTATGGTTCTTTGGGACCTTCCAAACTCCATAAACTAAATTATTCTCAGATTTGAAGCCGGATTCTATAAAAAACGGCACTCAGAAAAATTGATAAATCACCCCAAATGCTTAACACGATTTTATCTCAGGAACTATAAGTGTAAATGAGCTGAAATTTTCAGGGATTGTAGCCCTCTACTGGAATAAAAATCGCTAAAAATTTCAGCTTAGTTGAGTTATGACGTTTCAAAGTTTTCCAATATCTAAATCACCTTCTTACTAAAACGATGAAATTTCAATTTTTTTTTTGTCGAGATTTTGTATCCTAATGGTCAATCAACATCCCTCAAACTCCATACACTAAATTATTCTCAGATTTGAGGCCGAAATCTATGAAAAAAAGCACTCAGAAAAATTGAAAAATTGATAAATCACCCCAAATTGCTAAACACGATTTTATCTCAGGAACTATAAGTGCAAATGAGCTGAAATTTTCAGGGATTGTAGTCCGTTGATTGGGATAAAATTCAGTGAAAGTTTCAGCTTTCTATCTAGGAATAGAAAAAAAGTTATGACCTTTCAAAGTTTTCCAAAATCTAAATCATAAGGTAGGTAACTTCTTACTAAAACGATGAAATTTCAATTTTTTTTTGTCGAGATTTTATATCCTAATGGTCAATCAACATTCCTCAAACTCCATACATTAAATTATTCTCAGATTTGACCCCGCACCGGATGCATGGGATTTTGGGTTTCGGTGAAAATCTGTGAAATTTTCAAATTTTGTATAAAATAACGTGCTGAATGAAAGTCCAAATGGCAAAACTTTCGTAAACCCCATATAGTTTGCCTTTTATAGGCTCTCCTATTTCAGAACCTTTATAATCTATACAGAACGTTTATTGATTGATTTGTTTATTATTTTGGTGTATTTGTATTTGTTTTTTGGGGTTCATGTTTTGATGGCTGATACGGTACAGTATAAAAATTAATAGAAAGGAGATAAAAGGACCCTGTGGCTCGTCATCTCCGCAGTATTTTTCGACTCCAAACCCTCTCCTCCAAATTAATCCACATCAAAGCTACACAAGAATCGCTGAATAGCTGCATAGGTTAAAAGAAGAACATATGCTTACTGCTTTAACATGATACTGAAGTGCTGCAATGGTTATTTGAATAAATAACAGTAAATAAAGTGGTCTATTTTTAAAAGAACATAATATATTATATGCTTATTTTTGCGAAAATATATTAGAAGGTTGGGCACTAAGCTAATAAGGGTTAAATAATTATGGTACAAACACTACAAGCTCCTGTGATGATTAATAGTGAGGTTTTTCATTCAGTGAATTATGTTGATGCCGTGATTGACATATGCCTGAGGGTTTCTGTTAGCAGCATCCAAAACAACGTCTAGCAGGATAGACGACGGATACTTGACATTGTGATCGTGTCGTGCATATCCCAAATACCACAAAACACTTGCAACGTGGGCACATGTGCCTATAGTCCTTGCACCAGACCTGCACGTGCAATAACATCCCTGAATCGGTTGTTCACCGTCTTGGTTAAAGGCAATCCACAGCTGGTGTTTTGTGACGTTTCTAAATCGGGAAAATATTCTTAATCTAATCAAACTCGGGTCATTGGCTAAAAGGTCTAATTCTAGTATCTCTGTTTGGTCCCTTTGTAGTTTGTGCTGTACATAGGATGGCGCCAGTTTTAGTTGGTAAGTACCGAATGTTAAATCCCTCAAATAATCAAGAGGCAAGCGTGGAAATCCTGGTAGATGGTTTTCGTCCAGCACTGTCCATTGACCGTTCCTTCTCTGTAAGCCGTCCGCCTCCACTCGTGCTTGCAATACATTTGGTTCATGTAAGCGAGCCAACATTCGGTGAGCAATCTCCAAGGGGGGTTCGGGAATTGGGCCATGAAATCTATTGATAATTGCAGCTGCAATTCTATAAAAATCACAAAGGTTAACTGCGTGCGTTAGGGCTAAATTATGGACTGCCTGGTAAACGTCTGGTTGTTACCTAGCAGGTACTTTCTATGAACTAGAGAATAGAAAGTACCTGCTAGGTAACAACCAGACACTTACCAGTTGGTCCATAATTTGGCCCTTACGGAAATAACTCCCGCGAAAAACTTGAAAATTGTCTTAAAGTGTCCATTTCTGGCTTCGATGATCCATCTGGTTTTAGTAACGAGATGGGATGCATTTCCTTCTTCGGTTGTTAATTATCGCTGATTTCGGGGTAAGGCATAGGGCATCCGATGAGCAATTCCGATATTTTCAAGAAAGGGCACAACATCTCTATACCCCCTGTCCACGATAAAAATATCATCATTATTAAACCAGTTTCTAATCCCGTCAACATCATTTTGAAGCTCAGTGCGTAGCACTGCTGCGTCGTTATTTCTAGTATCTGAAAAGTACGGTCCAAGTACGCTTAGAATGTAGCCATTTGGTGCTACAATAAGAGCTGGCTTCAAAAGATGATGGCCCTTATAGCGACAATATGATTGTTGCAGAACTTGAAAGTTACAACTTTTTTCGATGTTGCTGTAAGTACCGTCAATATACGCAATAGCTCTACGGATTTCAGGTTCAGGGTTATACAACGCATTACTGAAGTCGTTGACGTGACGGTCAATATATGTATTTCTTGTAATTGCTGCAAATCCCAAGTTGTTTGGTACAAAGCGTAGTAACAAGGACTTTCTAACAGATGAAATAGCCAAACTGACGGCCTGTCGGGTACTGTGGTTAAAAATAACTTTTAGAAATTCATCGGAAAGTCCATGTCGAAGCTTGCATAAAAAAGTTATCAAGTGTTTCTTTTTTATATGTCGATCTGATCGGTTATCGTGAGGAATATTATCGCAGAATGTATATAATTTGTCAAATTGCGCTTTTGTTAGTGACGAAATAGACGTAAATTCATCATCTGTAATATTGCTTACATCATCAAACCTATGGAAGCGTTGCGTTGTGATAGCGGCACGAAGACCTTCCAGAAAAGCTAACAAATCCACACCTCTAAAAACGAATGGCCTACGGACAGAACGTAATCCAGGAAGCAAGTACTCCTGAAGCAGCTGGCGGTCGGTCATATGCACATCACAACACTCAACATATTCTGGCACATAAATATTGGCTTTAACAAAAATATCAATTCTACAATCCATAGATAACCTTTGTAGAACAACGTTGTATTCCCTATTACAAATCATACAGCTGTTACTTGTAGTTTGAGTAAGAACATTGAAAACCAAGCAAGTCGGGTCATTTTCTAAGGCTCTTATTTCTTCATGGACTGACCGACTGCAGTTTAAACAAATCCGAGCGTCTTCATTGGCATTTCGAGCTGGCCTATTGGCCTCATCACGCTTCCGTATTGCTAGGTCACGGGTCAGGGGCGTAGTCACCGGTGTTCCGTGTGTTCCCTGGAACACGGGCCCGGTACCTCAAGGGGCCCGGTTCTATATGTCGATATTATGTTTCTCCCATTAAGTAAAAAAAAAAATTACATTTTACACATTTGACGCTAATTTATATAAAAATAAAATAGTTATTTATGATATATAAATGCTGAAAGTGACATTTAATTTTGTGACGAATATCATACACTATTTTTTCTACAAACGCACTAAAAGTGATTACTTTTAGCACTCAGTGCTAGAGGTAATCACTTTTAACACCAGTGTCTTAAAATGGCATTTCAGACACTGACAGCATCCGTTAAAAATGGCACTTTTAGTGGCGTTTGTAGAAAAAATAATATATCTATATCTACGTAGGTAAAATCTTCATTTCTTTCATTCTTATACAGGGTGAGTTACTAAGCACGCGGTCGTCCATATTATCTCCTATACTAACGGAGATCGAAGAAAAAACTAAAT